CCAAAACAAACAAACGTGGAATGCTCTTCATTTTTATTGGATGAAAAACTATTTTATTTTTCTTATGATAAACGTTCAAATATTAACTTTGTGTACGTTTATATGAAACAAAAACTTACCTAACTGACGAGATAATCCTCTCCAGTCTTTTCCGTCATCTCGTTTGATGTCTAATGCTGCTTCTAATTCTCTTTGTTTAACCAGGAAAAGCTCTTTAAGCTTTACTTTCAGTTTCACTTGAAAACATGGTAAAAACATCATATTATCTCATAAGATAATCCGTTTTTCGCTAATGCAACCTTTTTGTAATACCCTGGTAATGTGACGTAATGGGTTGTATTGTATTATAGTTCGAAATTAGTTGTTGCCACTAACTTTTAGGTGTTGCATGAATATTATTCGTAGAGAGTGTACTGGTTATGCAGTAATCCGGTAAAGTGAGAATTTTAAAGAACCCACAAGTGAAAGTAAAGGAAAATATGTCAGCTACACTAAATCTGCAATATAACAGAGCTCATCAAGCCGGCTGGGATACGACAGGCATAGTATTGGTTTAGACGTTGTGTGTGTGTGTGTGTGTATACATCAATTTTCATGAACAAGAGCTATTATGTTGTGAACCAGATCAAGTGGATTATAATTTTTTATGCTGGTCATTTACAAGTCAGATTATTATTACCACAACATTATTATTATTATTAAATATTTTTTGTTGATACTGATTATTTATTATTATATATGAATTAACTTTACTTATCATCTACAAGAATTGGCGAACCAGAAGCTAGTCTTCTTGTTCACAGATGGAGTCAAACAATCATAGTGTGAACGGAAGAAAATTACATTACTAATTCTCAGAACTTATGAGTGAAAGGTCTGACTACTAATGTACAACTGTAACCACAAAGACAAAAAGAAAACCTTTATGAAAGTCGTTAAAACCTACTTGTCTGCTGCAGCGGCTGAATAGTGACCAATTTCAATGACTGGTCAGAATCTGATAAAAGTACACTTTTACTACTGTCTGATGAACCGCCTTGGCTAATTCTAGAAGTCACTTCATCGCAGTGAGTTGCCTTCGTGCGAGTCTGTCGTTGAAGTCTCCACCGAAGCATTATGAACATAAGGATGCCCAGCAGTACTGCCACTAAAATTGTGCAGTAGACGGGGATCACATTGTTTTGGGTGAAGTTCACCACCTCACTGGGCACTTTTCTTCGTTCATCTGTTGGTAAGAGTCTTCCACGATGAAGGTTTTTATCTATCACGATCAAATTCATATATATTTTATAATTTGTCTAAGATTTTCTTATGAAAAATAAATAAATAAATACTTGTATGTCTCTTTATTACAAGTTTCGACAAACTTTAACCCGAAAATAGTTTTTTAAACTTTGAATCTTAATAAATTTCTGGTTTGGAGAGCGTAAATTGCAGATACTTCTTTTTTTCACATTTTTATGGTATTGGGACATGCTTGTACCTGTCCGGCGACGAAATTAGGGCACACTTTGCACCTGTCTTATAAGAGTAATGGGGCATTCTCCACTATTCTGTTTACAGCACAAAGAGTCCATTTTATTGGTTTTGGGCGTAAAGGTTTGCAGAAGCTGTTGTTTTCCAACATGATTGGAACTGTGTTGTTGCCCTATTTACTGTGGGTAGGTATTGAAAGCGACCTGTTGATTTATATAGTTTTCCCCATAAAAGAAGTAAGACTTCACTGATATTAAACTCTTGGGTATTTGGGTTGCCATAACTTTTGTTATGGATGGAAATCCACTCAGTAGAGTGACTGATGAAAATGATCTTGGTATAATGGTAACAAATCACGCATTTAAAGCAGTATTGTGTTGTTAGTAATAAACGTACAGCAATTTTTTGGTGTATTTATGGACATATCTTCTTATATTTATTCAAATCACTAATCCGGCTTCACTGGGAATAATGTGTATAGTTTCGATCTCCTTTTCTGTGATAGGATATCGACTTATTGAAAGGGGTTTACCGGATGGCTACTAAAATGATTCCCAGAAGGGTAAGGTTATCTTCTAGGGATACCTTAAGATCATAAATTTATTTATTCTTGAAAAAGAAAGGGTAAAAGGTGGTCTTATTGAAGTTTATAAGATTTTCCAGGAGATCAATAGGATAAAGTTCTCTGCTATATTGAGAGTACAAACAAAAACTTTATTTTTTACTCTTTTATAGTAGCACAGTGTGCCTGAAAGACAATTATAAAAAGTTCTCTGCTTTCATTGTGCTCTATTCTAAACGTAAAAGGACAAGAAGACACAAGTTTAAGATCTGGAAAAGACAGTTTATCCTCCTTAGCCTTAGTTTTATTTTTCTAACAGGGTGATTGACTTATGAAGTAAGTTGCCGTAGGCTGTAGGAGGCCGAGACTTTATAGAAGCTTAAAGGGGGAATCGATGAGTTCCTGAAAAATAAAGGATGGATGTAAGTTTTTACTTTTCTCAAGGACATCTTTGAAGGACCAAGTGATCCCATGCATTTTATGTTTTTTTTTTTTATCACAAATGGCCCGCCAGAAGCACAGCGGTAAATCTGAGGGCTTACAACGCCAAAAACTGAGTTTCTATACCCATGGTGGGCACAGCACAGATAGCCCATTGTGTAGCTTTAGCTTAACGACATACAACCAACCAACCACTTTATCACAAATGCTAGTTATTTCGCCATCTTTCGACTTTTAAACGATAGTAAAGGAGTAAGTTTGAATTATTTTTGTTTATTTTACGTTTAACTTGAAGTAAAATAGAGCTTGGTAAGTTTTCTAGCTACATTTATCGCTCATATTTTATTTGTCTTTCAATAGGGTAAATCGTACTAAAAATATGATTATTAAATAGTTTATTGATCATGTTAGGTATCAAAACCAGAAAAAGCTCATAAGTACAGTTCTCAATTACACATTATGTGGTTTGTTATGTAAAGTGAAATAATTTCTTATTACATCTTCATCCTAATTGATAAGAGTGACAAAGTTGTGATCACACGTGGATGAGGTCAAACGTTTTTCTGAAAATGATTTTAAAAACGTTAGGTTCCCTTAATGCTAATTAGGAAGAAAAATGTACAAAAAAAGGCATTCGTTTACTTTTTAGAACAGGACAATGCAAGGCATGTCTTTTGCAGAAAAACTTTTAAAGAATATTCATAACAGAATTAGAGAACAGAAAAGTGTATGTTTGTTCATTTTGTAAAGGACAATAACTTTTTCTTCTAGTTGCCGTTCCCTTTCCTGCTGGAAGTTTATTTTACATTATAAATGGGTGTGATCACACTGAATTTGCACGTACTGGTATAATTTCTGTGATTCTTTATTCTCACATAGTACTAAAGATTGGACATTTCTCATTCAAACGTGATACTGGCAGCAGCTTAATGATAGCTTTATTATTATTATCTTCCAATCCACCTATTATCGTCCGGAACAGTCTGTAGCCTAGATGCTGCTATTTAGTCTCGACTAACATTCATGACGATTTAAAAACTTAATAAGTTTCTTTATGTTTTCCCCTTTGCCAACTCTATTGAACAAGGACTCGTTTTTCTCTCCAGGCATAAAGCAACGAAATTTTTATATTGTCGAAGAATAAATCAAAAGCTTTCCAAAATAACCTTAGCCAGTTGTGCTCCAGGCTTAAGCGGAACGCCGAAGTTTCTTTTCAGTCTAGTTAACGATTGTAAGCAGGTTATACGAAAATATTTTTTTACTTATGATAATATCACTTGGTTTCATACGACAGCTGGTATAACCAAAATACATTCGAACACTTCTGATATAAACAGCTCGACCTCTCTTTACATTCCATATTTTTAAAACTAATTACGGTACGATTGTCTTTGTCTCTGACTGGCGACATCAAATCTTTTGACAAGAATAATAGCACGTGTATGCATTTCTATACAAGATTTAAAAAGGATGGTCGTATAGTACACAACAAAGTTATTTGACTGCAACAGATCAAATAAATCTACTGTTTACGAATATATAAATGTGCAAAAAAGCATTAGACAATTGCAAAAAAGTTCACCCCCCAAGATAAAAAGTATTCTGCTCACTTATTCACCAAAACCGTTTTTTTTTGTTCTGTATTTAAGTGACGAAATACATGTGTGAATTATTTCGTTTACAGACAATTTCCCAGAAAAGTACTGAAAAAATTTAATCCCATAAATTGCTCTCTTTGGTTGAATATTTTCTCTATAATAAATACTTAAACTTATTTCTAGGGTGGTATCAGCTGAATAAGCTTAAACTGATTTTTAAAACTACTGATTCATTTTAAACGTTAATTTTTTTATTTACAAATTTACTAAGTCCAGTTAAATTTAACTGATTTGGTTATACCCCACATATTAGAGTTAATATAGGAAAGAGACATGTAGTGGAATAAATTAAAATTTTTATGAAACATTTAAATTCTGATAAAAAGAAATCGCACTTACAATGATAGTAAGGATCGGGTTATTAATTTGTTGATATTAAATTGAAATGCCCCCCAGTGGCCCAGTGGTATGTCTGCGGACTTGTACTGCTAGAAACCGGGTTTCGATACCCCTGGTGGGCAGAGCACAGATAGCTCTTTGTGTAGCTTTGTGCTTAATAACAAACAATAACTAATTAAATTTAAACAGTTTCTTCCAAGTTCATTGTGCATGGTCTACGTCACATGCACTATTACAGTAGCTTTTATAGCCAGACTAAAGCTTGGGATATTAATACATAGAAGTTTACCACCTAAATATGATTACTATTTCTTATTGCCATAGAAGCGCTCAAGTATTCTCAGTGTGAAACAAGATGGAATCCTTAATAGCCGCGGCTGTACTTAGATCTTAAATCGGTCAAGAGAATGAGCTATGAGCTAAAAGTTTGTATTTGAAAAAAACTCAGAGCCACTATGCCGCGGCTAATGAGTGTGTAGCTTTTTTTAAGTTTAATTAAACACGTATGATGATACTGGTTATTTCTCTACAGTTGCTAAAACATTGATATACCAAACAAATCACGGCTAATGAGAGTGAATGCAATTTCGCCGTTACATTTATACATTACTAAACTAAACAACAACAACAACAAACAAATCTTCTTATAGAATAACTTAAGCGTGGTCGAAAAGGTGAATAAATAAAAATAGTAAATTTGAAAAATGTCTTTTGGAATAATTATATTCACTTGAACCTTCCTCTCTTGTAGAGTTTTAAACATACTATATGACTTTAGGATTTCTATATCGATAAATTACTATTATAGAATGCTTGATACTAGAGCAAACTGACCGGTTGGATATTTTCAAGCTGCACGTTTATTTTGTTTTTTCACTTAAAATGAAATGTTATTAATCGCTTTAATTATGAGTCTTAAATAAAATTGCATATAAATGTTGCAGTAATCTTACTTTGAATTATTATCTGTAATAAGTTGAGTAACTCACTACTAGAGGACGCTCCTTACATAAAAAAATTACCCAACGTTAAGTATTATGAGTAATTTGTTTAAATTATGATATTTTTCATAACGTATATGTATATGTATAAATTTTGATAAATTCGTTATTGAAGCGTTGCCAGATATTATTGATGTATTACTAAGTTACCCATGATCTCAATTTAATATAAAGACTTAAAGTCATACCGATCATTGAAAAAAGTCCCCTTTTAGGTCTCTGATCTGGATGTTTAGCACGCGTTTCGCACAAGTACCGTTCAAGTTAAAAATACCTAATGTCTAATACGATAGTTCAACTACTTAGAACATATCATATTTTTTTTTCCTAACTTATGAACACTAATATGACATTATGTGGTTTCTACACGTAAATTATATTATTAAATTTAGATGCTGTTATAGAGTAAAGTAACTTTTTGGGTTTTTAAGGGTTTCGTGCTTGAGATGAAACGCTACAAATTGTATATGGACATAATCATCCTTTGGTTGCACCATATAGAATGTCTCCGAGCTTATATTACACTGGCCAAGAAGTCATATTCATCAGATATAACTATAGGTGAGCTAGATAGCTCTTACGACGCTGGTTCCAAATCTGTTCCAATCTGTCAAGTTTTCGTGATGAGACTGATCAAATTTAAAAGGTTATTACATTAATTATAATTTGTGTCATTGTACATTTCTTTTTTCATAAGTTTGTACTGTATAAATTTAAACAAGTGTATGGTGTGTATAATTTTAAGGGAATTATACTGACAAATGAATAAACTTGTAACATTAAC